CACACACACACACACACACACACACACACACACGACCGAACGAGTATCACTATATTTCTCCAAAGAGGATGGTGTCTTTGACAACATGTTCCCAGGGCAGAGCTGTTTAACTGACCTGTACCCAGAGGCCCTAAATTAATCATTTATGTTATGTTAGAAGAAAAATACAATAATAAGGTAAAAATGCATAGTTTTCAATTTCAGCTGCTGAATCTAAAAGTGTAGTAATGGTAATTTTAAAAGAAATGTTGCCCCTGGTAAATATTATCACTTCATTTGAACCTGTTCTGTGCAGACAGCAATTTTACTGTCAAGGAGTGATCAAACTAGGTTTTGTCAAATGTGGAGCACGGTGTTTGAGTTTTTACAATGATTTCTTGCAAAATATCTTAGACCTGTGAAAGTTTAATGCAGAAACCAGTCTTTGAAAATATATAAAGTCATCCATGAAATTTCATGTTTACTTTTACTTACTGCATTGTATATTTTTAACAGAAGAGAAGAATATGATTTCTGTAGTACCTGAGAGCTAACTCCTCCTCTCCGTGTGGATCAGACTACACAGGGCAGAGAGCATGGCATTTTCTGCAGCTGTCCTCAGAGTTTGCAGTCCAATTTGGGACTGGTTGCAAGTCACATACAATTTTAGTTTTGTTAGATGCACTTGACAAGTACTTTTCGTAGGAAAAATGTTGTAACATTTGCACATAACCTCATATAAAACTAGATTTGACTTACTGCGGATGTACACTGTTGATCCATGTAAATTTAAGTAGGGGGAAAAGTGAGGGATTATTTAAGCTAGAAAGACCAGAAAACAAAGCAAGCTGCAGTGAGGCTGGAATCATTCTTCTCTGTATTGTAAAAGCTTGATATAAAAGAAGTTTCATTGAATCATGAGATGATAGAAAAATGTAGTGAGAGACGTTGTCTTTCAGAGCAGATCACTGTGGAGCTGACTTTATGTGACGTAAGTCACGCTTATACTGAACATTGAGTCTGAAGAGTAAGATTCATACTTTTCTATGTAAGAGCCAGTGTAACCTGGCAGATACTGTTGGTCCTCTGTAGAGCAGGTTCTACATTTGAGGATTTAACTAACCTTGGATTGAAAATGTTTGAGAAAAAATGGCCTCTGTACTGAATATGTACAGACTTTTATTACAACACAATGTAACAACCACTTACATAGCATTTATATTATGCCAGCTATTATAAAGTAGACAAAAGTTCAGATGCTCAGGAGGATATAGGTAGGTTATATGTAAATACAGTGGTGAGATACAGATAGATATAGATCCAGATCCAGATAGAGATATAGATATAATCTTGAGCACCAATAGCTTTTGGGATCCAGGGTCCTGGACACAGTCTCCTGTGGGTACTGAAGGACAACAGAATTTACAAAAATGGCACTGCATGCTACGACTGGCACATTTAAACTGATACGTGTATAATTATAGCTACTAAATTTGAAAGCTTTGGGAGAACAGCATTCAGGACTAGAACTTTTTCACAAGTATCATGTCCCAGGCCCTGGGCAGCATTACCAGTAAGCAAACAAATGTGATGTCAGACTCACTGTGTCCCTAACATCACGACAGAGAGAACTTAGCAAGATTGTTGCAGTTCAGTTATTGATCTCAGACTTTTATTTCCTTCTATACAAAAGAGAAACTTGAAACACAAAAGAAAAATATTTGAAGAAGAAAAGTATCTTTGCTTTTCCAAACCCTAAATCAATAACATGTCCACCTGGGTACCCAAAGAACAGAATGAATCACTGTATTGCACCTTTGTTCTTGGCTGATGGTAACGAATGAGTATGAGATGATGTTTACCATCATTTTCTGAGCAAGACTAAAAATTGCTTAAATTGTGAGAAGGAAGGGGTGTGCTGTTGTGCTGTTCTCAGATATACCTGGAGTGCAAACATGGGAATGAGCACAGATCACCCTCGTGTGTCCCCGCCAGAGCAAGTCTGTGAGACAGTCTTTATCCAGCACCTGAAACTTTTGTTCTTGTGCTGTTCATCTTGAGTTCTTTTTCTATATTTTATCTACATTTTAATGCAATCATATTTAACATTAACTTTTTTTTGACTTTATCTACTTGAAGAGGAAGTATTACATCATTAAATGAATACTGACTTACGAACATAGTTTTCCTACTGCAGACCATTTGTAGTGGAAGAACCCATGTCTAAACGCAAAGAAGCTTGGTAAAGTTAATGTTAAAATATCCAGGCCAGTGTCACTTACTTCACAGCACTATTTTTTGGTAAAATAATATGCATGGTACTGAGGCAGTTTGGTAGATTACTGTAAGACCATCTTTAAGGGACCAAAGAACGAAAAACAATGTCGAGGACTGTATTCGAACTTCTTTGTTCAGGGTTTCAGTACAAATGCTTTCCCTCTGCCTTCCCTTCAAGGTTTCTGATTTGTATGCTGTGCGCGAAGAAATCCATTATGCTGGAAACCATGCTTGTAATTAAGTCATGTGAGGTAGGCTTTTATCTCTGGAAAGCATGTAGTTCTGATTTACAAAGATTTGTACACTGTAATTACCTGTTCTTATCTTGTAACTTGCTTATTTCACTGGTCTGATCCAAAATCTGTTTTTCCAGCTTGTTGGTAGAAAGTGAATGTTCTAGAAGCTGAAGTTCGAGTCTTGTTGTTTGATTTAATACCTACATGGAACAAAATTAAATTCCTAGTTATCATTTTAATACATTAAATTTTATTCCTTCCTTTTAATTAAATTGCCCATATTATTGGAAAATGTAACACATTAACTCAAGTGTCCTATTTTGGCATGTTTTTTTTTTTTATTTTCAGAAAAGGCTTGGTATCTTGGATAACACTCAAGCATGTTAAACTTTTTTCACCTTGTTTTTACTTTAGAAAGTGGTTCATAGTTCTGGAAAATGGTTTCTGTGAAATAATATATTTTTCTACTCCTGCCCTATTTTATCATTTTTTCCCACTGAGGCAATGGGAATATTAAATAGTTCTATTTCATAGATCAAGAATTGTTGATAGATATTTTCCCCTCTGCCCAGATGAAACACTGGCTCTTATATTTATTCATCAGTAGACTAAGGGTTTAAAAGTTATATTCCGCCTGCCTTGCGAGCGCAAGGACCTGATTTCAATCCCCGGTACAAAAAAAAAGTTATATTCTTCCCTTACATAAAAATGCAGCTCATTTTTAGCCTGGCATTTCCTACTTGTGACCGCATGTTTAGCCTTTGATTTTTTTCTTTGTCATTTTTCTTTTTCTCATTTTAAAAGTCTTTTCAACCAATTAGGAGACAATAAAAAGTCAATATAAAGTGGAGCCCAGTGTTGCTCTGTGGCCTTTCTCATGTATAACGAACGTGCAGCATTGCTTTTCCCATTGTATCAACACAACTTTGAAGACAGATTCTTTAGCATCTGGCTGACTTTTCCAGGAAGAATCAATTACTCAAATCCTCTGTGTCGTACTTATTCAAGATGTGATGCCACGTGTAAATGGAAGTCAGAATTGTTGCCAAAGAATCAAGGTCCTTGAAAGAAACATTGTTTGCTGGGTGTTTCTGTCATTGGTGGGAGACCTGGCCTGGCTAGAGGCACAGGGCCCACGAGTTTGAGTGAGCGAAGCTGGTCCCACGTCCCCACTGGCTGCGTCATGGCGGCCGGCCCCTCTGCCAGCCCTGGGGTAAGCCCTGGAGTGTAAACCCAGCCTATGCTTTTTCTAAAGTAACTGGAGAATCAGAGTCCCTATTTAATTCGCAAGAAAGAGAAAATGAGGACATTTTGGGAGAGAGGCAGAGGAGGATGGTGCATAGGTCCTGGTGGACCTAGTATAACCGCAGTGTTTTCCTGTCGCTTCTCTGAAGAGTCACACAGTTGAACTCATTTCAAGGCCCAGGTCTGCTGTTGACTGAGCAATGCAGGGCCCATAATTCTCTTCGAGATCTCTCTCAGACCTCCAGCCACACAGCTGTGCTCGAGTAAACAGTCAGTCTGTTGCTTTTACAGGCTGGAAGAACCTTGGCATCTAACCAGAAATCTCCACATTTAACTTCCAAGCTATTTCACACAGGCCAGAACCGATCGGCAGTTGGCTTCTGGTGCACTGGGTGCTTAAGCAGTCTCTTTCATTGGTATGCATTTGTGATAAATAACACGCCCATTCACTGTGCGGAATGTGTGCACACCTTGCATCTTGATCCTTTTCATTCCCTTCCCCCTCACATCTCCCCTTACCCCAGATCCCTTCCTGCCTGCAGTTTCTGTTTCCTGTCATCTCTTTCCTTACTTGGTCTCTTGATGTCCTTCCTTAGACTCATGTCTAAGGACTCATGTCCATGTCTCTCACTAGACTTGTAGACTGTTTATTTCCATCCATCTTCCTGTGTTCCTGTCCTAATAGGGTCCTCTGACATCTGATTCACAGTAGGCTTTTTAAAACCATGTGCCTCACAAAAGCACTGACTTACACAGGATGGGGTGAAGGCTTCCATGGTGGTTCTGTGTCCTAACACTTTCGTTACTGTTATGTGAAAACATAAGATGTGTTGATATTTGTGGGACACTTCTGAGTGAATGCGATTGCCAGCCAGCTTTACTGTCCAAGGGTAGGGCATGCCTCAGCCATCGCTAACTTACTTTACTGACTGGATCCATGGGTATATTTATTTTAAATTATGTCTTTTCATTTTTAGTTCTCATCACCAACTAGAATTAAATCTTATTATTTATTTATTTATTTGGTTTTTTGAGACAGGGTCTCACTATGTAGTTGAACTTACCTGGAACCCACTATATAGCCCAGGCTGGTCTCAAACTTTCAGTGATCCTCCTGCCTCAGCCTCCTGAGTACTGGAATTACAGGCATGCGCCACCACACCCAGCTTAGAATTAAATTTTTTTTTTTTTTTTTTTTTTTTCGGCCCCCCAGTTAGGTAGATATCTATGTTTAATCACTACTAAGATCAAGAAACCCAACTTCATCTTTGGATTGTACACTTTGGCCAGGACAGGGCTGCTGAGGAGCATGAGGTAACCAGTGCACATTTTAATGACATAAGAAAGGAAAGGATTTCAGAGTCCACTGTCTTGAAAGTTTTGAAAGCTTTATTCATGCATACACAAAGTTTTAAATGCATGTAAATGCACTCTACCAATTATGATTCAGCATTACATTTTTATCTGTTACTCACAGGGATTGAATTTACTGTGTTTGGTACCTATTTTTCTTTTACTGAGATATTATCAAATTTAATTGATGAAGGTATTAGGATATAGTGAATAAAGGATAACTTCAGTCTGTGTGCTTGTTTAAAAGAAGACAATGAAATTTTCAGTGATTTAAGACCTGTAAATTTTACTCTTGACACTAAACATCACCTTTAAGGAATGCATTATTTTATTTCTGAAGGGCATTTGCAGGTAGCCTTGCAGCTTTCTTTCGTGATTTTTATACCACACCCGTGTTGCTTGACCAGAGCAGCACAGTTTGTGATAGTATAATTTTAATGCCTTATGATCCAGTATGCAAACTGTTTGTTTACTTAGACAGTGGACCCTGGAGTTAGGACTATCCTGACATACGAATGACTTGGGTTATGACCAGAATTTTAGTTTTAACTTAAAACCAGTTTGAAATTATGACCAAATGCCAGCCACTTGTTCTTCCAGAGGGTCTCAGATACAGATTTAACCCAGAAAGAGTTCTGGAAGGAGCATTTCAACATCCTTTCCTGTGTATGGTTAATTGAGAAATCCTGGGCTAGTGTCTCTCTAAGGACACTGAGATCTGCCTGCGTACAGAAGAGAGACTTTAATGGCTGTGCAGAGGAACCTGAGCCTTTAGCTGAACAACTTGAGTTACAACCAGCTCTTGCGAACAAGTTGAGTTCGTAAGTCAAGGGTCCACTGTATTGTTTCTAAATTCTTCTGGTGTTATTGACAGGCATAGTAGTAAAATAGTTGGTTTTGTATCCTGTTATGAAAATCTTTTATTCTGTACCACTTTCCTTCTGTTTCCTGCCCTCATCAGTGGGTTTAGAGAAACAGTGAAAGGACATGCACCCCATTCTGGAGGTGGCATCTCATTTCTGGAGACTTGTGCCCCTCCTGCCCGCCCCCTTCTTTTAGACGAAGCAGCATGCGGGAATGTGCGGAGGAGGAAGAGATCACAGTTGAATCCACTGCTCTGTGAAGCACTGCTTGTAGTCCAGAGCAGGAAGACAGTAACCTCCTAAGCCCTAGAGGAGCCAGGACTGGGAGTAGAGACAGACCGCCTGAGAGCCAGCTCCGCAGGCCACAGCTCATTCTGCCAGCCTCAGTGTGTCCTCCCCAGGTGTCTTCACAGTCACTCGTGTATGTTGCCCAGCTTGTCTCTGGATGCTTTGGGGAATTTTCTTTTGGTACTAGGGATCGAACTTGGGTCCTTGCGCTTGCAAGGCAGGCGGCAGAACCACTGAGCTAAATCCCCAGCCCTTTCTTTTTTAAATATTTATATATTTTAATGTTTTGTCACTGTCTTCTACTTTCATATTTTGTATTCTTTTATCTGCTATTTTTTTTCCTCATTGAGTTTATTGGTATCTGCTGCTATTAACCAATAGTCACAGAATCTTAAAGCAGAAAGAGAACTCAGCCATCGGTGCTCAGGCCCAGACCCGTATCATGTGCTCCAGGCCCAGACCCGCCTCACGAGCAGAACTGGGGCTCCTGGCTCTTGGTCCCACCGAGAGTGCACAGCCTGCCTCTGCCCACTAGTGCGTTTGCTGTTATCGGAGACTGAGGTTTTACCTTAACTCTAGAGTGAGACGTAAGAATGAAATTTCGAACTCTCTGCTTCAGTGATTTTCTTTTCTCAAATGCACAGAACGTCGAGGGCTCAGACGGGCCTGGAAAGAGCCGTGGGGTGAGGGTGCTCTGATCACGTGTGGACCTTGCTGTCCGAGGGAGTGAATGCAGCTCAGCCTCACATTACAGCCGTGCTTGCCGGGGGCCTCCACCAGCTGCAGGCTCCCCATCTCCTGCGCTTGCCTTCCCCACTGGCTGGCCCTGGGCCCTGGGCAGGCACGCAGAGGAGCTGGCCTGCCGCCTGTGGGCCCCGTCACTCACCTGGGCTTCCACGTCCGTTAACTTCCGCGTCTGCTGTGCCGTCTGGTTCAGCAGGTTCGTCCCTATCTCAATCATCGCGGCGGTCTGGTTCTGCACAGCGTTCTGCTGGAGCTCGGCCATCTGCCTCTTCACATTGTCCTGGACGTAACTCTCCAGCTGGGAGAGAGCAGGCATCGGGAGCAGGGTTAGTCCAGGGACCAGACCTGGATCCTGTGCATTTGCCCTCTTTTCCTTCTGTCAAAAACTACGTGAAAACCTGTGTCTTGCCACAGATTATAAATCTTTGCATTTGTTAACACCAGAAATAAAATTCAGTGCTACTTTACTCCAAATCTGGCAAGTTAGGAACTCCATATGTAGGAGGGATAAGTCGTGTGTGGCCTCTGTCTCTCTAGACATGACACTGGCGACATCACACCACCCCAGGCAGGGGGCAGGACACGGATGTTCGGTTTTAGACACTGTGCTGTGGACCATGTTGACCGCCAGTGCCTGTTACCAGGAGAGGAACCCCGGGCGTTTGAAAGCTCCAAGCTGGCGTAAGGGAAGCAGCGTGCTCCTAACTACAGAATCTCTGTCCCGGCCACACGGCCATCTCCTTCTCTTTCACTGAGTTCACTGGGCCTGCTAATCCTCCCTATGGTGTGCGTTTCCCATGGCATCGCCATCTTGTAGACCTAGAAAAGGCCTTCCCAACCCTGCATGGGCCTCTTCTTCGCTCATCAGGAGACCCTCTTCCTCTGCTCTGTCCCTGAGCAAGGGGGACATGCCAGCTGCTACGATGTGGGTGCGGTTGTCCCCCAGGCTCGTCCATCAGTATGGAGGGACCTGTAGGAGGGAGAGGCTGTGTGGTGGTTGTTTCCTGCCTAGGGTTCCAGGCTCTCTCGGGGACGCAGCTGGGGGGTCTGTGTGGGATCGTGGCGCAGACCCGGGGATCAGTGTCTGAGCTGTAACTGCCGGTGCCGTTGCTGGTTGTGCTGACTGCTCAACCCGACTATGCTTACAGTAATGGTCTCTTGCTGTTGTGGGGCAGCCGGGATCGGCATGAAGCGTGACAGTTGCTAGAGTCTGGCCGTTTGTGAAGTTACGTGGTTGAAGCATTTACTACCCTATGTGAATCAAAATAGATCTGACCCCATAAAAAAATTAAGTACTGTTATTTCAGTCTTAACAACCATCTCTTCTTGTGTCGACTTCTTACAACCTGAAGAATCTGATACCCTACTACTGTCTATCAGAACGAGATCAGGCTTTATAGTATCTGTGATCTTCCTTAATGCATTCTTCCCTCCTTTCTTCTGCTTTACCTTTAAATAAATGCTAAATTTTATGATTGAAATGCACTGTTTAAAAGAATTAACAGACAGCAGTTTGTAACTCTCACCACCACCACCCCACCCCCATTCACCATGGGAGTAGTGGAATTTTTGAGGTTAAAGTTAAAGCTGTGTCATCCAGAGGAGTTGTCTTAGTTACTTAGTTACTCTTAACACCCAGAAAAGATAATATTTGGAAAGATTTATTCTGGGAAGTTTGGAACTATAAAGGCTTACTCCAGTTGTAGTTTAGTTTAAATCCATACCCAGAAATAATAATTTACAAAGTAATATAAATAAAAATCTTAACCTTTGTTTTAAGCAGTTAAGAGCTAAATAAAAGTGATTCTGTCTTTTGTCATTCTCAATCTTGTAATAGAGGAGGAAAATAAATCCTTTAATATCTCCCTCCCACTCTTTAAGCTATCGGGTCAAATGTGGTTACAGCTGTCAAGAGACATGAGAGGAGTGTTTATTATGTGAACATTTAAAATCAAGTTCCAATTTAAAATTAGACTTGGGAACATTAAAAGACATACAGCCTAATTTTTAAAAATAAAATTTCTTAACTTTATTTTCTAAGCTTGAAAACAATCCACTGTCAAAATGTTTTCCAATCACTACTGGTCAGCTATTCAGTATGACAGTGTGTGTGTGTGTATGTGTGTGTGTGTGTGTGTGTGTGTGTGTTTTACACTGAAACAAATTACATGTGCATGTATACATGTGATAGGTGTTTTATACAGATACTGAATATATAGTATACATATGGATAGTATCGGTGTAGAATATGTAGTTTTTGAAGACATTATTTAAATAAAGTAAAATTCTATATGACACTGGCCAAGTTGCTGAGTGGTTGAAGTCTCTGGGAGAAAAATGGAACAGAAGCAGAAACACCAAGTAGTAAATAGACCTTTTACCTAGACCTGGAAGACTGTGCTCTTACGCCTGGGGTGGAGGAGTGGGAGTTCTGAGGGAACATGTGCCCTGACAGTGGCTGCTCTGTTTAAGAACAAGAAAGAATTCATCTGTTCTTCAGAAATAGTTATGGCGGTGACAGGCCCAGCAATAGCATTTGGAGCCCCTTGGTGGCTCACCCGTGTCAGCTGCTGTATACATCTCTTCTGGATGCTGGGTGTCTCCTTGGGAACTGGTATACTCAGCAGCAAAATGTTACTTCCACAGTTTCTGCCCTTTCACAGCCAAGAGTGATGCATCTCTGAATTGGTTTGGGTGGTGTTTCTGGTGCCTTGGAAAGCAGGTAGACCGCCGACTACTCTTAAGGACCATGTCACCAAAAGGAAATCCTAGGATTAGAAACCACCAGTGCCAGTTTTATCTCCTGGGAGCATTGTAATAAAAAGATACGGTTTTCTCTCCAAAAATCAGCACTAACTTTAAGAGCTGGGAAGAATATGGGCGTCATTATACAACACAAGAGTGATCGCTTGCAGATGAACAGCTCCCATTTAGAGCCTCCCCTTAAGCTCTGGCTTCTCAGGACCATGAGCGAGATTCCCACATGGCTGGCTCTGCAGACAGCAGTACCTTGACTGTCCCTGTCTCTTGGCTTGGATTACTCAGTTCTTTTTCAGCTTATTGCCCTGGAATGTCTTTCTATTTAGTGCCTCTTATTTCTGTTGTCCGATTCGCACCCGAAGTCTGCCCAGTGCCTTGCTGGTGTAAGGAGGTCCCCATATGGGGGAGTCGGGGGAGGGTAGTAACAGGAGCCATCCGCCCTGCAGTGCCCACTCCGTTTTCCCATCCTTGCCGTTCACACTTAGTGCTCTTACCAGAAGCAGCTCCAAGATGCCTGCGCCTTTTTCCAGTCCCCTGTGTGCAGCTGCACATGTTCTCGCTTTTCAAGGATGTCTGACAGCGCATTCCTACCTGACAGTGATGGTGCAGGGACTGTGACTCTGAGTGTGCTCCTCCCCCAAGTGTCAGAGGGCAGTGTACACTCCTTGCGTTCTCTTCTGAGCGGCTGAAGCTCTCCTCCGTTTGTGGTGCCTGGAGCCGTTCCTCTCTTCTTGGGTCGGGAGGGCTGTCGCTCCCATTCACTGGAGCTGCCCAGATCATTGCTGGGTGTTATTTGGTTTGCTGAAAAGGAGTTGCATTCCAGGCAGTCTTCGAAGCTTGGCCACACAGCAAACTCAAACAACCAGGATGGTATTTTAACCCAGCATGTATGTGTGTGTACATACACACATATAATATATGTACCTCAGTTCACAATCGCAAACAGTTTGGTTCGCAAACAGAAGCTTTAGCACAGTTTTGCTCCTGTTCACAAACCCCGCATCTGGTGACGAACACAGCTGCGACCATCTTCCCCAGAGTTATGTAGCAAATTAAGTTCATGAACTAAGGTGCCACCAAAAATATATAAGTTTTTCAATAGATAAAATATCCTGGAGAGTTTTATTATTCTCCTAACATTTTGAATAATCAAGTTTGACCGAGAAATGAATCTATGTGTGAGACCACTATGGCAGATTGATTACATATTAAAATTTTTCTCTGGCTATCTTCCTTCCCGCTACGATTATCATCCTTATTTTTCATACCAAAAGAAAAGTCATCTTGTAATTGGCTCAGGAAAGGAAAACACCGTTCGTGTGTGAAAACTATCCCCAACATGGGATTCTGAGGCTGGTCCCTCACCGAGTGGAGACGCTGGTCAAGAGATCATTTCTATTTAAGTAAAGTTGGGTGTCCTCGTCCCTTTTCATTAGTCTTTGTCCTTCTGAGGAACTAATTTTCCTAGAAAAATAACAAATAATTTGAGGTTTCCCTGGAAACAATTCTCTCTAGTGTTTCGCTTTTATAAACGAGAGGTTGCGTGTGCTCTGTCTTACACACACACACACACACACACACACACACACACACACAGGATGTTTTCTCTGCCCCAGTGCTCCCCCTCACACCTTCCTTCTGCCCCCATTTCAAAGTCAGAAGCCAAAGTAAACTTAATCCCTCTGGGGCTCACATTATTCCCTGCACCCTGGCCTGTGTGACATATTCCTTCACTGGGAAACATACATTGTTAACCTATTTTTCATGGCTTGGACAACATTCCTGAAGCTAGCCACCTTGTAGAGAACAAAGGCTTCTTTAGCTCACAGTTTGAGAGGCTGGAAGTCCGAACAGCATGGAACCAGCTCTGACATCCTGGTGGAGGCACCACGCAGGAGCTCATGTCACAGGGAAGGCTCACATGGGGGATGGGAAGCCAGAGAGACCAGGGTGGGCTGGTCTTGCTCTTCTCTGACAACCTTCTGGTGAGAATTACCCACGCGGACAGTGTCCCCAGTGACCTCTGTGGGCTGCACCCCTGGAAGGTCCTGTGACCTCCTGGAGTTGCAGCTCTGGGGCCTAGCTGCTAGTGCATGAAGTGTGGGGACCCACGCAAGCCAGAGCCGTGCCGAGCAGCCTCCTGCCACCTGCCTGCCTCCCAAGTGGCCCTCTTTCCTTGGCTTCCACCTTCAGCCAGAGGACACTGTCTCATGTTGCATTTCCATACCAAAAATATTTTGTTTGTTTTGCTGATTTTAAGATCCAGTCGTGCAGGTTGTGCTCGTGTTCACTTGCAATACTGAGACTTCCCTCAGTATGTATGCACCCTGGTAACAACAGGCAAAACACTGGCTCTTACAGTTAGTGTGAACGTTTGAGTGGAAGATTATTAAACCCAAGGATATTCTGTTTGGAAGGCTTTTGACCTAATGTTCTGGGTTCTTTGTCTTGCGGAAACTCTGAAGCATAGTTTGAGGTCTCCAGACAGCAAGTGGCAACCCTGAGCTCCCCGCTCCTCCTCCTTGGAGAGCCTTGTTG